AGAGTTCCTGGTTAGGAGCAAAAACTGAAGAGCCAGATTGTTGTTCTGCCCTGAACCAGGTCAGAAAAATTACACCATATTTAATTTGTTAGGTTTTATTCTTTAATTAACATGTTGAGTGATCATGCTTTATAGTCTAATAGCTCTGCTTTCATGTGGGTTCAAAATGCAGCTAATATGTCTGCTTTTAGTTCATTGCAGCAGTTTTGAACAGTAGCAGAATATTTATGAACTCCTACAAACCCTACCATCAGCTGTAACTCCTTTTTCCTAATGAAAACTGCAGCTGACAAGCAGCATCATCAATAGATTGGACATGATAAAAATTCACAGCCATGGAGCAGTATGCCAAGTCTGAAGCAGAATAAGATGACTAGTTTTAGGTACTCACTTTCCTGGTGGCTCAGTTTATTCATCTTTAGCACATGCAGAAAATAGCAGCAATTTTTCCATCAGTGCGTAAGTATATGGAATAGGAAATATAAACAGATACATGGGTTTCGAAGATTCTTATAGTTGGTATAAATTTGGAAATGTTCATTTCTTAACAACCTTATGGGGTGGGATGAACAGGGTTCAGAGTTGCTTATCATTTGGTTATTGCCTTTAACATTTTACCCTTGTATATACTCAATGTAATTATGATTCTTGGATTACATCCCATGTAATTATGATTCTTTTATTTCTTTTTCACAAGGTAAAGTTGCTATTATTATTATTATTATGAAGAAGCCTAACGTAGGAAGTAATAATTTACTTTTAATGTAAATCCTAGTGCGCTTGAGTAGATGCAATAAAGTTTTTTTAATTTCTATTTTTACAAATTCATTCACTGATACAATTTCTGGAATTACTGATTTTTTGCTTCATGAGACAGATAGAAAATATTCTGGGCTGAATTAAATGTGTAACTCAAAAAGGGCTTTTGTTTTATTTTTAGTGTGGTTTTTTACTGGAATTCAAATTCAAACTGTAGCTATAATATAAAAAAAAAAAGAAATTAAGCTATTTCAACTTTTACAAAATGCTATTCTTCTTGCTTTCTCCTTTCTTCTGTTTTGTCTGAAACTCTTAGCTTAGTTGAGATTAATCACTGAATCTGGCCTTGAAACAGCTTTTTTTATGAAATAAGCTCTTTATATGAAAAATATCACTTACTGCCCACTGGAATGCACAGGTACAGCATTAGTACAGTCAGTCCTGAGTTATGTTTAATGTTTACCTGTTCATTTGCTGCATATTGTTACAGTGAACCAATATAATCACCTGCAATTGTTGGACATTTTTCTTCTAATAGAAGTTACTTAGCTTAGATGTAATAGTAATTAGTTATGTAAGTAAAATTAAATGTGTATATATAACATACTAATATTTTAGTTAAAAGCAGAGCAGTTAAAAAACAGTACCTCAGCTGATATACCCTGAGGATGCTCTGAATTAAGTTCAGATGCAGCCAATGAAAACAGAAGCCCTGATGATTAAATTATCCTCAACCCTATAGAGTCCTCCTGCAGTGAGCAGAGCCAGACTGACCCTGATCAGACATGTATGCATATGAGATTTCTTTCCTTCTGAAAAGATGTGCCTTTGTTTTCCTTTTTTTTTTTTTTTCTTTTTTCCATTTTTCTGTTTGGCTGACATTCTTCTTTAGATATTATTTAGTTAAGAATCATAGGATTCCTGCTTTTCCTGATGCCCCGAAGCCTGCAGCAGTCTCCTTTCTGCTACTCCAAATTCTATGTCCACAGACTCTTTACAACTTGGCCAGAAACTGTCCCCAGATCCTCAATTTTTAAGTCTTTTTATTTAGAATCCCTAAGCTGTGTTTTGACTACCAGAGTTAACGAGCTAAATGGCCACAGAAATATTGCACCTCTCCAACTATTAGTCCCAATTCTGGATCTACAGCTAGTTTGTGAAACTGGTGTGGGACTCAAAATTTGCTTCAGCTGTAAATACCAGCTAAGGGATTTATCTTTCCTCACACAAACAGAGTTATTCCTAGGGCTAGCAAGAGCTACCTTATTTAACAATTTACATATTATTTGTATACTTCAAATAGTACCTTCTTTTCAGACTAATATTCACGTACTTCTTGATTGCTACAGGCATTTGTCCAGAAGAGCACCCCTAGTCCAGTGATCACATATAATAATTTTTCTCTCCACAAGTGTTTTACTATTTTTAATAAATTCTTGCTTTTTTAGCAAGCTGTCCAGGTCCTGACACAGGAACGAAACAAAGGTGTAGTGGCTGACATTCCGAACTTCAATTTAGTACATTCCCAATACATACAACAGCAACATTTCACATCAATAACAATGATGGGCCTTGGGGTAATAAGAACAAAAGACGTTCTCCCAGCTGGCACTTTTTCTCGTGGATTATTGTACTGTCCCATTTTTAATATTGGGAATAATTTTCTGTCATTAGCTTTTAAAAGACTGCCACTTAGAGACAAATCCAAGCTCATGGCCTCATCATGAATAAGGATTTAGTGAAATCACACTTTAACTAGCTGTAATTGTTCCTATAAGCTAAAGGATTAAATTGTATGTATATGCATAAAATCCACATGGTCTAACAGAACATAGAGAAAGGAGCTAGAAAATCATAACTTATTATTCTACGTCTGTCAGTCCTGTGTACTGCTCACAACCACAGGAATTAATCTCTCTGGAGCCAATTCTGCTCACACAGCAATTATACACACATTTAATTCCATTATTTCATGATTTTTGATTTACACTGGTGGAGGTGAAAATATTGTCATTTGTACTTGATGTTACTCTGATGTTCAATATTAAACCCCCAACATGAGGCAGAATAAGACTTGTCTATTCTTCTGATAGTGGGAAAGAATAATTGAAATGCACCACATCATAAAGTGATCATAATTATATATAAAGTGCTAACTGTGATTACCAATATAGGGGGTTGTATATTAACATTAATGGCTTATTTTTGGACAAAATCTGTTACATAAAAAATTGCTTCTTCATGTCTTTTGGGAACTTGTAATGATTTTTAAAATATATAAATTACATGGAAGTAAGAAATGGGAACATCTGTTCTATGGCCTAAACTCTATACATGTGCTGTCATGTGGCACCAAGCCCTTTTCCCAGAGGTAGATCTTGTGCACCCAGACTATCCTTTTGAGATGTTTTACATATGTTAGCATGTGGGCATTTGTATAACCATGTCTTGCATCAATGGGTTCTGCAGTTATCCTGGGAAATAAACTGCTCTGACTGTAGATATAACTACCTCAGCTCTCCAGAGTCAGTTCTGGCACAGAGCACTCCAGTTCAGTCAGGCTTTGCAGACCCATTGCTGCAGCACTTTCAAAACCTTCATTAAAACTAATGGAACATTACTTTTGAAACCTAGGATTCCTTGAATAGATTTTAGTGGAGTTTGCTATCAAGCAAATAATGATTTTTAAAAACCAGAATTATATTCTCATTTGCTGAAAGTTGTTTCTAAAATCATAAGATTTTAGTTCTTAAAAGTACTTTATTTACTCTGAGATGTGAATGAATACCAAGTGGAAGTAACCTTCTTGAAGTAACCTTTTTTTTTTTTTAAAAAAAAAAAAAAAAGAAAGATTGAACTTAAATATAACCTGGAAAATGTAAAAATTGTTCCACAGGATCAATACAGAATGAGCAGTCTCTGCACTAGGTCTAAAGCTAGGATTCTTTTTCTGTGGTCTTCTTCTGAGAACTGGTACCTTGCGAGCTTCAACATTAGCTTTTCTGTCTACTTAACACACCCTTGATGACTGGATTGAAGCAAATAACACACGCTGTATAACTTTTGTGGTCAACATAGATCAGCATAGGCAGTGTTTTTTTCTGAATTTATAGATAATCTCTTCTGCCTTATTCAGTTTTTGAAGTTAACTGTTAACCACTTAACTGAAAGTGAAATATGTCTAATCTGTTCATTGTAGTAGTGTTGGGGCCATGGTAGTCTAAGTACATAAGCAAGGCAAGGTTTGTAAGTGGCAGTAATAAAACGCCTGGGAACTTTGAAGTTTGATGCTTCTACTTCAGAGCTGAAAGCTTGTGTGCCCAAAATCTGCCTATTTTGCCCCAATACTTAGCTGTTCTAAAAAAATGCATTATTTCTACCCACAAACAATTCTTCTGTTCCTCAATACTCACTGTTTTTTATTTTCAGCTTATAATGCATATTGGCTAGCAGTCAGTAGACATACTGTTTTTATAGTTCTGATTCCTGGATGGACAATCAGAATATATACTATTAATTCTCTAGTGAGCATAATTTAATTTATCGATTCAGAATTTGTTTACCATAAATATTCCATTATGCGTGCTTACAGTAGACTGTATTTGAGAACACTTCTTTCAAGTAACTAAATCATGAGAATATTTTCAGAGAGCCAACACACAAGAGGCAAAAATATAGTTTGAAGCAAATTCAGTGTTTTGTTTGAAAATATCTTTGTATAAAAGATATTTTTGTAGCTATTTTACTGAGCTCCCTAGTGAGCCCATTCTTTTCCAGCCCTTTTTAGACAGTAGAGTAGAGGCAATGGGAGAGATTTATAGGATATCTATGGGCAGATGTGCAAGTAGCTCTGGAGAAAATTCAAAAAAGGTTCATAGTTAGGAGCAGCATAATGAGATTCCAGTATTAAGCCTCTCTTAGAGAGCCATGATACGCATCCCAGTTGTAGGTCTCCAGCTGTTAAGAGAAAGTCTGTTTGCACTAAATAACACACCACTAACTGCAAACTTCTCCATGAAAGAGATACCAGTTTATCTATGTCCATAAGCAATAGGTCATTCTGAGAATGCATTTACATAAGTTACAGTCAGATTTCCCAGCTTAATGAGTATCTCTATAGTTCTCTATAGAGCAAACTCTATAGTTCTAAGTCCAGAACTAAACATCTTCACTGAAAAAATCCCTGCTTCCAATCTCCAGACATTCGTATATGTTGACTATTGGCATCATTTCTTCAAATGATGGACCATGATGAGCTAAGACAGATTTTAGGTAACCACATTGCATATTATGCTGACAAGCTGAAAGAGTTACATGAGATGTATCTTGCGCAGCCATCAGGTAATAGATGTGTTTTAATGATCCTTATTATTGACATCTGTAAGGGAAGCAGCCACAATTCTCCATAGAGCACACTTCCATTAATCATTCTGGAGGTCAAAAGGTATAAATGGTTGCAGTAATATTTGCAGGAGATGCATGAGAATTTTAAAAGTAGTGATTCAAGTGTCTGACATCACCTAGGGATGTAGAAACAATGAGTTTATTAAAATCAGTTACTTTGATGCTTATTGATGAAAGACAGGCATGCCCTTCCACCTCTGAGGACGATACCACTTCAGTAGTGTCATCCCCATTGTTCTCCCTACTATGAGTATCAATGTCATGTTGACTAGATTGTGTTTTATATTACTTTCAAATTTAATCAGAGAACTGGACCAGGAGACATTTTGCCATGACTGAGTAGAAATCTCTGTCACACATACAGAACAGCATTTTAAAAAGTTTTAGAAAATATGTATATTGCAAAAAAAACAAGTATACTGATGGCTCTCAGAGTAATCTGTGTATTTTGTAGACCTGTAGAGCATCATTATCATAGTCTCACTAATTCTAATAGATTCATTTTCTCAACCCAGTAAAGTACTGTTTTTCCTGTGTTAAGTATAGTACATTATGATCAGATAGATTATGCCCATCAAATACATCTGCTCTGAGGTAAATTTTTATGCTATAACTTTTTTGTATGTTGGCATTAGGTATTTGATCTGGTGTTAAGGAGGAGAGAAATCTTGCACCTCTGCTATTCTTTAATGCAGGGTTCAGGGTGAACGTCCCTAAAAGGTGATCAACAAATTATGCATTGCTTAGCTCAGATCTGCAGTTGAACAGTTCATTTGCTTTTATAGAGGCATTGCATGGGCAACACTTGTCAAATAAGCCAACCATGTGGTCCTCTCTGACACTATGGGCCATAGAGGTAGGAAGGATGTGTTAGCAGATGAGCTCAAATATTTTTTCTAAGCATGGATTATACAGTAAGAGTGAAGGAGAACACTGCTTTTTAGCCTCAGTGTTATATCTGGGTGCTTAAAACCATTAAATGAATTGCTGAGTCTGACCCTGAAATGAGAATTTGCGAGACTTGGAAAAGCGTGCTTTTACTAAAGCCAGTGAAAACATCTAATGGATTTTCAAAATATCCTGTAAGATCTAGGTCCAAGTGATTTTCATTGATAGTTTTCAGGTAAATCTCTTATGTGCTTTCCTACTTAAAATCCTATGCATGTATTTCTGAAGGAAGGATTTTGTTATTGTGAAAAACTGTTCTGAGGTTTAAATTTTGAATTGCTGATTTTCCTTTCATTTGTGTCATGTTTTCCCATTAAGGTAATTCCATTGACTAGAGAAGAGTTATTTATGAGTTCTATTTGTTAAGGTATCACCATAAGAGTTTTGACCTTTTAAGATGTTCCAGGTCCATTCTGGAAACCATTGCAACACTCTACCTCTCAGGGGGCTGTGCCATACACATATCTCCCCGGCTGAACTGGGTAGAATAATATGTTTGAAATTGCATGCGTGTGATTATTAACCTGCCAGTCACGGTTAGCAAAGGCTATGTATCCTTGTGAACAGGTTATATAAACCTCTTAGCTCAGAGTAGACCTGTGGTTTTGGAAAAGACCTTCTAGACCACGTCCTCAGTTGACAGGATTTGGCCTGGCTGGGTGGAACCAGGCCAGCTTACAGCAGCCAAGGCTCCTCTCCTCTCCTCTCCTCTCCTCTTTTCTGTTGAGACTCTCTTTACTGAAAGCACATTTTGAGATTAAGACACTTACCTGTACATAAAATTTAGCAGCTACCCATGATGTCTGTATATGAACACCCAGCTTTGTGGTACACAAATTATAAAAATATAATGTGCAAGATTCATACCCAGTGACATTTTCTCCATTTTTTATTATTCTTTTGTAAAAACAATTTAGGAGACTGAAACAAGGACGAGAAAATGCTCTTAAAAAGCATGCAATATCATTTAGCTTCACCTAGAAGCTTTACCATTCTAAAAAAAACCCCACACATTCAGTTTAACTGTGCTTAATGAGTAGAGTTTGCAGTACCTATTATTTAAAACATTAAGTCTTGTTCCTTCTCTTCATACAGCTTCAGAATCTTTCACAGACTGTAAACTTCTCTGTCATAAATTCATAGATAATTCATCTTACATTGTAATTAATGCTGCTATCATTTAGAAAAGATTAGGCAACCGTCTGCAGGAATGTCTGCAGTAAATAGTTGCAGGGCAAGGAAATAGTCTAGATGTACCTGTGAATTCTGGTTTCTACAATTACCTTTACTTACTTTTCAGTGTTTCTAGAACAGAAAGGAAAGAGAATGAAGTTATTGAATTCAAGAATAGCTTAGAAAATTACAGTTTAAACTCAGTCATCTCTTGAGTTGTAAATGTATAGAGTAATAAAGAGGCACATACTAGCCTGTGTGTAATACCTAGGTAGCTTGCTGCAGTGTTCAGTAAAAAGCAATTGTTTATATAAAAATGCTACTATTCTGAAATAACTACTGCCCTGGCTAACCATATCAATAATTCAATTAATTAAATATATGACAAAAGCAAAATACTTAATGCAGAAGTAAAATAGTATGAAATGTAAAAAAGCAATGACGATACCAAAGTATTATTATGATACTATGATTTAAATTTTTAAAGGCTACACATGAATAAGTTATTACAGTAGAAACATTAAAATGATGAGAATACTACAAGAGAATGCATTTAAGGTCTTTCATTTAGAAAGCAAAAATAAATAAAGGTAATCCCCTGTGTTTTCATTCTTTAATGTGTTATTATATCCATGAATCTCTTGAAAGAACAATAGGGAATATGAGAGAATAATATACTGCTGAATTTAGAGGATTTTAATATTAAACTTGATAATGTAAATTTCCTTTATCCATTTTATTATTTTTATTTTAATACAAACATTTTGGAAGGGATTGCTAGGGTAATTTAGTAGAGATATAAATGGGTAAAGCTGCAGTTTGGCCTTTCATTCACTCCTCCTTTTCCTCTTTGCTTAGTTATAATTCTGCAAAGCACAGGTGAAAACACACTACCTGCTGTGGTGACATTTTACATTCATTTTGAACAGGTATGAGTCACTTCACTAGATTCATATGCTCAGTTTCTCCTGCCTAGCTGTAAGAGCAATTGGGCCCAGGAAGGCAAGTAATAGAGCTTGCACAGTTTCAACATTCTGTGCACATGCAAAGTGAATAAATATTACATCTTTATGATACTTTTCACTGACCAAATCTGTAGCCATGAATAAACAGGTTCAGATCCCACCGAAGATAATGGCTGGCCAAGGGAGTCACTGCAGAGATGCACAGAGAGATGGCAGATTGCATTGCCATGAGAAAGTCTAGCTCATCAGGATTTGTGCTATAATTTATATTTTAATTCAGTAATATTTCATTTCTTATGTCATTAAAAATAGCAGCAATAGTATTAATCCAACATTATTTCCTAGGAGCAAATGGGTCTCCCTAGAGACAAACACAAACTAATTATCTATGTACAATATGTCGACTGTTTAGAATACATAATTATTTTCCCTAATTTTTTTAAAGATGAAAGAGTGCATACGTATCTGTATTAGTATATCTCTGTGTGCGAGAGAAAGGAAATCTTGTATCTAATTTCCTACAAATGTTAACCTATCTTTTTCCTTTACTTGATAAAACTCGAGAGTGTATTATAAAAAAAAAGACTTTGTTAGTACAAATACTATTGCCTTTCATATTTCCACTACTATTAAAATCCTCTCCATGTTTTCATGAGTAATAGGATGTCTTTCTCACCGTGTTCATGAATACAGCTCAGTTCAGATCTTAATTCACTCTAGTGAAAGAAATTATTCCATTCAGTTTGAAACTGGTCAAAGATCTTCTACACTGTTTTGGAGAGCCAAAAGAAGATTTTTTATGGGACCGGTATCTACATAGGAAGTAGGCAAAGACTGTTTTAAGAATGTTTTCCACATTTGCTGAGAAGAGGTTCCCATGGAAATCTAATTCAGCTAATAGCTATGTTACCATTTTGGCAACTTGCCTGCCTGGTGAGGAAGTATCATTTTAAGGGGTTGCCATAGAAAGCCATAGCTTAAATCTGCAGTGCAGAGTGACGATATTCACTGATGCCCTGAAGCTCTGTGTCCTGTCAATGCAGCATTTGAGAACAGGTGCTTCCTTGTGGGGCCTGGGTGCCCTGCTACTGTGAAGCAGGGCTGGAGACAGGGAAGGGGGTGCTCCTGGGATTTTCTTCTCTTTTGTCACGGGGTTTACTGAAAGGGAAAAACAACTGCACCTCATGTTTTGTTTGGTTTGTTGTTTTTGGGTTTGTTTTTTTTTTAACTCCAGCCCTACAAAAGAAGAACTAAAAAAAAAAGCAAACAAAAACTCCTCAGTCCTTGAATGTATTGAAAATTATGGGTTTTTAGATGAGAGATAATTTTGTAATGAAAAAGAAACAGAAAGTCCAGGCTTCTCAGTTCAATGCAAAATTGTTCTTTTAAGTCAACACACATTCTGCCATCTAGTGACCAGAAGAAATTGTACTGACCAGCTGCAAGTGTGATGAGAAATCCCAAGTACTGCTACTACTGCATATTGCACTATCTTTGTGGGAGAAAATGTAGAACGGGTTACAAAGACATTAAATGCGCAGGAAACTTTTTCAAGCTCCTGGGAGTCTGCAATTAATCAGATCTATTGAAATCAGTTAATAGTTCTGTCCAAAAATTAATTGAAACAAACTGGTTCTTTATATATTTCTATAGCCCTCTTCGTTCTTCCTTTCTCCCTTTGCACCCCCCCTCCTTCCCCTTCACCTGGGACTTACATCAGCATTTTGCATAATTTCTGGGAAAAACATTTGTGTGTTGGCACAGAGAGGATGCCATGCTACTGCACGTGAGACAGTTTGCATTAATGCACATTCTGGCTGCAAGGCCTTTCGTATTCATTCCGTAGTCAAGAGTAATTGAAAACACTCATTTGACTATTTACAGTTCAGGAGTGGGCAGGATAGTATGAAGTACGCTGCTGGAGTGGTATGGGCAAGAGAAGAAAATGACAGTCACTTTGGGGAATCGATTGCCTCTTCTTGCTTTTAAGGGTCTGATCAGCCTTCAGGGAGCTGCTCACCATCCCACCTTCCAGGCGGTTCAGTACAAGCTGAGGATGCTCAGCAACTCTCAGAGGTTGCTTTACATTTTACATGCCCTGAAGGCATAATCCTAAAGGTCTTAGAATCACTTTTTTTTAGTTCAACAGTTCATTCATGCTGTCGTCACCAACTACAATGCTGAAAAAGGCTTTTTTTTTATTAATGCCAGTGTGTTCTGTGCCATTGATAGCACAATTTATACTAAATGTTATACCTATAACCAAATCAATATATTTACACTGTGAAGTTCCCATGAAATGTGACATAAAAATAACCATAAGAGCCAAACCAACACGGTTTATAATCTGATGACTAGGATGTGTATGTAACAGACTTACAAATATTATTAAACAGCCTAGGCATAAAATCTGTTTGACATGTACTTTAATTTTAATGATTATCCACTTGTAAAAAGCAAAGACTAGCCATTGGTGAGTAGAACCTTGCAAAGCCAGTATTTTTCTTTTGTATTGCTCAGTCTTCCTAGTTTGCATTTTTATACTGTTAACAGATGTTTTTTCTTCTTTATTCCTACAGAGAGCTCATGGCACCTCTCTTCTCTCCTAAAAACGTACACCTACATTGGCTGCAAGATTTTAGCTTCTCCTTTAAAAACTAAAAAGGTTACTCAATAGGAATAAAAATTCCCATAACATAACATAAAAATAAAGGTAAAGCCAATGGGACTACAGATAAGGATTGTTGTAAATAATACTCATCTGTAAACTTTGGAATTTCAGGAATCATTGGGGTTTTTTTTTTCATTCCTAGAAGGCATGGAACTATATTACAAGCTTCAGAGTTATATGTAAAATGAAATGATAAACCATGTCCATAGTAAAACATATGCATTGCTAAAATACTTTCAAGTATTGTGTACAGCTGAGGAGAGAAAGAATACACATCCAATTGCAGGAAACTATTGTAGTTCCATAGTCACCAAAGGACCTCTGACAGCAGGATAAATTCTTTTATCAGATGACTAAACCTCAGATTTTCTACCACAAATGCTGGGAATATGTTATGATTCATTACAAGTCACGGTCTGGTTAAAATGATCCATTCAAGATTACCCATAATGCTATTTGTTACTTACATTTTGAGGTATTTCTTTATGAGTTTTATTCTCATGCAGGTAGATTATAACATTAACAATGTAGTAAAAAGCATTAAAACCCTTTCATGTCCCCAGGCCTAGCTTAGAGTCACATTGGCAGTTTCTGGATCAGGTCATGTACCTGTCTACTGCTGAAAAGATTCATTGTCCCTCTTTATTTAATGAAACAATCTGATTAATATCAATGTTTGAGGTAAAAGCAGAGAAGGACTGTTTTGTTTCACGCAAGGGAAAATTAGGACAGGCATCAACAAAAAATTCTGTTCAGAAACTGATGTCTGCAAAAATACCTTCTTCTGGGTTAGAAAACTTGTTTTCAGCAGCAAGAACTAGGTAAGAAGAGTGAGAATGAGAAAAAAATTCCTGTACTCGGAATCTCAATTCAAACATCCGATACTATATCCCAGATATCAGGTCTTGAATTGTGCTGGCCTGAACTTGCAGGACACCTCTATGCCAGATACTGTCTGGTGTAAGATGGTCCCTCTCACCTTTCCGACACAAACAGGTCCTTGAAACTATTGTGCCATTTAGTCATACTTTAGGCTGACTTGGGTTAAAATGCTTTCCCAGCCCAGAAAGCATTTAAATACTTCTCCTCCATGAAGTATTGCGGGAAAACAAATGTGTAACAGGTTCACCTTCTACATTCGTTATTTAGCTAGGATTTGAAATTCGTATTTGCTGTAAACAATGGCAGTCAGTTAAGTAAGATATTTTATTATAAAATGCTTCATAAAAAATGCATTACTGTTGAGCTTCTTAGATTAAACAATTTTGAGAGCACTGTTGGTACTTGTATGCAGAAACCGGACACTACTGATCCCATTCCGAAAATGTACTTGACCCTTATTTTTCTTTTCTTATGAGGCCTGAATTTTAATGAGGCCTTAAAGTCCTCACTCATGTCAGTACACTGCATTTCCTGTTACTGCTTTTGTTCTCATGCGGCATTTGGTTAAATACTTCAGCTGAATATGAAAATAAGAGCACTGCATAAGTCTCATTTCATTTTTTGACAAAACTTACAAAGAAATGTTTGTTATGAAACACTTATCTTTAATATATATTTATATATTTACTATATAAATTAATTTATTAAAGGGAGATTAGTTGAAAAGTGCATCTCAAAGACCATCAGCAATAGTTGAAGTGAATTGAACATGTAAATTAAAAATGTGTTGTTGCTAAGTGGAAAAATAAAAAAGTCGAGGCATGATTAGATCCTGTATCAAGGACTTGTATTTTATTTGGCTTGGTGATATTCGTGAGTAACTCCATTCTTGTGAATGGAGCTACACTGGGTATAAACCACAACCCTGAAAACTGATCTCCCAGACTTTCCTTTGCCTCTTCACCAGAGGTCTCTGTCCTGCCGGACGCTGCATGTGCCTGTGCCCAGCACGGGATGCTGCGGGACTGGGACCGGAGCATGCACCACCTCCCTGTATGCCTCTGGAAAGCCTTCCTCTAGCAAAGGTCTCCAATTATTGCACTCTGTTTGTAACTTCAAGACCAGAATTAAGTCTTCTGCAAGAATGGTGCCATATCCTCTAAATTGCCTGACAAGCAGGCAGCGCGCAGGCAGCAAACTCAGAGCAAACACGCTTTGCTTTCACAACCTCTTCAAGGGAAAAGCTATGTAAAGTCTCTTATCCGTCACCATGTTGTCAATTACAGTTTAAATGGTCATCTGTACTACACCTTGTAAAAATTGTAAAAGTATCATTCTAATCTTAATTTGCGTTAGAATATTGATTGTAAAACTTTAATTATAGTAAGAGATTTCGCACAGAATAAAAAGCTATCTTAAATCAGAGGAGCTGTAGAAGAGGTGTGTTTTGCAAAATTATATTCATAAAATTTTGTAACACACATATGTATGTATGTGTATATATATGTATACATATATTATACATATGCATGTGTATATATATAATTATCTTCTATATGTATTTCTGGGATGTATTAAAAGTGTGGAATGTTTAATTCTCAAAATATATTTTATTAATTAGATTTTCAAATATTCTCTTTAGAATGCAAACTGCATTGCTGTTCTCAAATGAATAATTAAATTTATATTTTAAGTGGTGACATTAATGAATATTTACAAAAAGAAACAGTAATTTGGAGAAATATATTAATAATTTACTAGAAAGGAAAAAAAGGTCTCTGCTGATTGACCCCTTAAAAATATATTTGCCTTTTATTATTTCTTTACTCTAAATAGAAATTTAAACATGTTTACTTTAATAATTTATCAAAACAATGTGTTTGCAAATAATATTTATTAGCATTTACATCTTATATAATGTTTTGCATCTTTTGAGGCAGGAAGGTAAGTTTTATTATCTTCATGACTTTACAAATTGGAGAGAATTTTGAATTTTGCATTTGCAAGGTAACCTTCCATCAGAAAGGTATTTTTTAATGTTTATATTCCTAGTGCTTCAGACACGTTCTGCCTCACCAGAAACTTCATGAAGTAGTTTCAATGTTAAGCCACGGTTCCCAACACACGCTTCCTAAATTAGAGTCCCAACAGAAACCGAGTATTTAGCATCACGCTGCGGACAGCTGTGTGTGCCTGGGAGGACCAGAGGGAACTGTGCTGAAGATGCAGCAGTCCCCTTTTAAGTGCAAAGGACCCTCCACATTTCATCACAGAAAGGAAAAATGGACTCCGAGGTAGAAGACTAGGAGGTTTGCACAGTACCAGAGAGGGAAAATGACAGCAGTGATACAGGATAAAAAGCGCACTCTTGTCTCCCACACAAGGGCCTTTTTGTCATTGATTTTTACATAGATTTCCCCATTAAAATCAATGGGGACTTCTTTTTAAATACTGAGGGCAAGATATAACCTTTATAACTGATATGTTTCAGAAAGTTCACAAGCACTTGTTCTGCTGGATTCAGCCTAAAAATTAACCAGTTTGTTGACTAAATTGTTATTATTTCATATTACCACCATTCCCAAAGATGACTTGTTATCTCTGTTGAAGGCTTCATCAGCCTGAAAGATGAGTGCAGAAATAGAAGTCCCCTGGAGGAGCAGCAGGCTCTGCCATAGAACAGCAATGTCTAACACTGTCACAATCATTTTCTGGTGTGGTTTGCACTGATTCAAAATATAGGAATAAAATGTCTGCATTTGAATAATTGTTTTTGTCCCATGTCATACAGCTGATTTATAGTATGTGTCACTACATTGAATGTTGGTTCATACAATAAAATCATGTTTGAAAATCTGCAGACACAAATTTAAGTATTTATTAAAAGCTGAGTGTAGCAAAGTTAAGTTGATGTTAACTGCCATGATCACTTGCCTGACTCTTACCAGCAACTTCCAGGTATGTTTAGGAACATATTGCATGAGACAGTATGTGACTTTTGAGAAATGTCTACACACAAGCTTTCATAAACCTTTATTCTGTCTTTAGAATTTGGAATGATGGGAGATCATACAATTAAAAGTCAGCGACCTCGATCTGTTCATGAGAAAAGGGTCCCTCAGGAACAAGCTGATGCTGCTAAATTTATGGCACAAACTGGTAATACATCAGTTACATTTTTCTATTTACTGTTGTTAATTTTAGCAAAACCACTGCATGTTTCCATAATCTTTTGCTGCATATTTGTCAGTTTTCTAAGCTGATACTTTTTTTGAATCATTTTTTTTTTCACCAGTTAAAGTCCATAAATAAAGTAGCTGAGAATTAGGTAAATCATATAAAAACATGCACTGTGAATGTGGATACTGAATAATTTAGTGTAAGCATGAATTTCTTTAGTAATAAAGGCAGTCTCACACATACAAGATACGGGACAGCTTACTGTGACATATCAACTTTTTTTCAAAGAAGATGTTAAGAACATGCTTCAGAATTTCTTTATAAATAGACTGAGGTCTAATCCCAGCTTTAGGTGTTTAGCAAATTAATTAATTAATAGGGTGACTTTAATGTGCATACATTCAGCATTTACTATCTTTGGCCAAGCACAATGTTCTGTTCTCTAGTTTCCAGATTCATAATTGCTAAACGAAATTGGCCGTAAGTAAGTTTTAATTGGATGTGAAAATTATCTAACAGTTTTTCATCTAAAATGTATTTTCTAATTTTGTTTAGCAACTGCATCTTCTTTAGATAAAGATACTGAAATGATATTACAAACCTAGAGCTGAAGTAATTAAAAAAAAAAAAAAAAAAAGCCTGTTTACCAACAGTTAACACAGCTGCCTTTGAGGTCAATGATAAAGTTTCAGTGGTGAGTTGAATTAAGCTCTCATACAGCAAAACTACTGCCATTTTGACATCAGTAATGATCTGTGTATCTGTTGGTAAAATCTAACCCTTTAGCAGTTCCCTA